TTATTTGACATTATGAGATATTTCTTAGACATTTAAGGAGAATGGTACACCGGAATATATATTAAAGGATCAACTTCATGCAATGGAAGAATTTGTTATTAGCAAATATATTTTAACTTATTTGATAAAAAATATATTCTTCCTCATTTAATAGATGTAAAATTTGTGAAGCTTTATTTTTTTCACAATCTTCATATTATTAAAACAAATAATAATATTACGATTAAACAACAAAGTAAATATAAAATTAATCAAAAATATTTAATTTTAATGATCGCGCGAAGTGCGGCCAAGTTCTCTAATTTAAAACAAAAAAGTCAAATTTAAATGGGTCTACTATAGAATTCCTAGAAATCCAACTTGAAAAATTATGTTAAAAATGGAAACTAAAAAGTGAAATAAATTTAATTGAGAGTTATCCTTCGTCTGTCCCATTTTATGTGACACTTTTTATTTCTCGAGAATCAAATAGTTTAAGTTTGACCATAAATTTGCGTATGATATCTTCAATTTTTTTAAAATGAAATTTATATATTTGTAAACTACGTAAAAATCAAAATATTATAATTCATAATAATTAATAATTCAAAATATTTTAAAGATCTATGAAAAATTTAAGATGAAAGATAAACTAAAAAGAGTAAAAGGGGAGAATGGAAAGTAGAAAAAAAGAATAATTCATCTTTTTGGTGGGCGTCAATGTACAATTTCTATAGCTTTTAGTCCAACTCTTTAGTGCTTTGTTGGTCCTCCCAAACTCCCATTTCTAAATAGGAGTAATATAAAAGGAAAAGAAAAAATGACACATGTCAATACCATAAATTTTCAGAATTTTAAATAATTAATAATTAATAATCAATAATTAAATAAATAAATATAGACACATGTCAATAATTAGAATTTAAATGACACATGTCTACACCACAAATTTTTAAAATTTTAAAATTTAACTAATTTTAAATAATCAATAATTAAATAAATAAATATAGAGACGTGTCAATAATTACAATTAGACACATTTATTAGACCCAATTAACTCTACGGTAGTTACACAAAATTTTAAATAAAGAATAATAAGTTATTATTCGATAATGTTAATTAATCAATAATTAATTAAATATATAGACACATGTCAATACTTATATTTAGACCCATTTAATTCTATGTTAACTATATATAATTTTAAATAATCAATAATAAATCTAATTTCTATTTAGCTATATT